AGGCAACCCAGGAAAACACAAGAAAGCCCCCTCCGTGGTGGGGGGAAGCTGAGAGACGGGCAGAAGAGGGGGAGGGGAGCAAGGGCGTGATAGGAGACCCACTTTGAAGGGACAGCCACTACATAAGAGCAGCAAGCATGGTCACAGAACTTCCCCACGGTCCTGAGTGTAAAGACGCACCATCAGGTACAGGAGAGCCTGAGAGTAAACCACTTAGAGGGCTGGAGTCACCGTGTGTGCAGGTCACCCCTGTGTGCAGGTCAGCCCTGTGTGCAGGTCACCCCTGTGTGCAGGTCAGCCCTGTGTGCACAGTCACCCCTGTGTGCACGGCCATCCCTGTGTGCAGGTCACCCCTGTGTGCAGGTCACCCCTGTGTGCAGGTCATCCCTGTGTGCAGGTCACCCCTGTGTGCAGGTCATCCCTGTGTGCACGGTCATCCCTGTGTGCAGGTCACCCCTGTGTGCAGGTCACCCCTGTGTGCAGGTCAGCCCTGTGTGCAGGTCACCCCTGTGTACAGACACCCCTGTGTGTAGGTCACCCCTGTGTGCAGGTCATCCCTGTGTGCAGGTCACCCCTGTGTACAGACACCCCTGTGTGTAGGTCACCCCTGTGTGCAGGTCACCCCTGTGTGCAGGTCACCCGTGTGCAGGTCACCCCTGTGTGCACAGTTATACGGTCACCCCTGTGTGCAGGTCACCCCTGTGTGCACAATCATATGGTCAGCCCTGTGTGCAGGTCACCCCTGTGTGCAGGTCATCCCTGTGTGCAGGTCACCCCTGTGTCCAGGTCAGCCCTGTGTGCACGGTCACCCCTGTGTGCAGGTCATCGCTGTGTGCAGGACATCCCTGTGTACAGACACCCCTGTGTGCAGGTCACCCCTGTGTGCAGGTCACCCCTGTGTGCAGGTCACCCCTGTGTGTAGGTCACCCCTGTGTGCAGGTCACCCCTGTGTGCAGGTCACCCCTGTGTGAACGGTCACCCCTGTGTGCAGGTCACCCCTGTGTGCAGGTCATCCCTGTGTGCAGGTCATCCCTGTGTGCAGGTTACCCCTGTGTGCAGGTCACCCCTGTGTGCACGGTCACCCCTCTGTACAGACACCCCTGTGTGCAGGTCACCCCTGTGTGCAGGTCATCCCTGTGTGCAGGTCACCCCTGTGTGCACAGTCACCCCTGTGTGCAGGTCACCCCTGTGTGCACGGTCATCCCTGTGTGCAGGTCACCCCGTGTGCAGGTCACCCCTGTGTGCACAGTCACCCCTGTGTGCAGGTCACCCCTGTGTGCACGGTCATCCCTGTGTGCAGGTCACCCCTGTGTGCAGGTCATCCCTGTGTGCACGTCACCCCTGTGTGCACAGTCATCCCTGTGTGCAGGTCACCCCTGTGTGCAGGTCACCCCTGTGTGCAGGTCATCCCTGTGTGCAGGTCACCCCTGTGTGCAGGTCATCCCTGTGTGCAGGTCATCCCTGTGTGCAGGTCACCCCTGTGTGCAGGTCATCCCTGTGTGCAAGTCACCCCTATGTGCAGGTCACCCCTGTGTGCAGGTCACCCCTGTGTGCACAGTCATACGGTCATCCCTGTGTGCAGGTCATCTCTGTGTGCAGGTCATCCCTGTGTACAGACACCCCTGTGTGCAGGTCACCCCTGTGTGCACGGTCATCCCTGTGTGCAGGTCACCCCTGTGTGCAGGTCATCCCTGTGTGCAGGTCACCCCTGTGTGCAGGTCACCCCTGTGTGCAGGTCACCCGTGTGCAGGTCACCCCTGTGTGCACAGTTATACGGTCACCCCTGTGTGCAGGTCACCCCTGTGTGCACAATCATATGGTCAGCCCTGTGTGCAGGTCACCCCTGTGTGCAGGTCATCCCTGTGTGCAGGTCACCCCTGTGTGCAGGTCAGCCCTGTGTGCACGGTCACCCCTGTGTGCAGGTCATCCCTGTGTGCAGGTCATCCCTGTGTACAGACACCCCTGTGTGCAGGTCACCCCTGTGTGCAGGTCACCCCCGTGTGCAGGTTACCCCCGTGTGCAGGTCATCCCCGTGTGCACGGTCACCCCTGTGTGCAGGTCACCCCTGTGTGCACGGTCATCCCTGTGTGCAGGTCACCCCTGTGTGCACGGTCATCCCTGTGTGCAGGTCACCCCTGTGTGCATGGTCATCCCTGTGTGCACGGTCACCCCTGTGTGCAGGTCATCCCTGTGTGCAGGTCACCCCTGTGTGCAGGTCACCCCTGTGTGCAGGTCACCCCTGTGTGCAGGTCACCCCTGTGTGCAGGTCAGCCCTGTGTGCACGGTCACCCTTGTGTGCAGGTCACCCCTGTGTGCACGGTCATCCCTGTGTGTAGGTCATTCCTGTGTGCAGGTCATCCCTGTGTGCAGGTTACCCCTGTGTGCAGGTCACCCCTGTGTGCACGGTCACCCCTCTGTACAGACACCCCTGTGTACAGGTCACCCCTGTGTGCAGGTCAGCCCTGTGTGCACGGTCACCCCTGTGTGCAGGTCATCCCTGTGTGCAGGTCATCCCTGTGTACAGACACCCCTGTGTGCAGGTCACCCCTGTGTGCAGGTCACCCCTGTGTGCAGGTCACCCCCGTGTGCAGGTCATCCCCGTGTGCACGGTCACCCCTGTGTGCAGGTCACCCCTGTGTGCACGGTCATCCCTGTGTGCAGGTCACCCCTGTGTGCACGGTCATCCCTGTGTGCAGGTCACCCCTGTGTGCATGGTCATCCCTGTGTGCACGGTCACCCCTGTGTGCAGGTCATCCCTGTGTGCAGGTCACCCCTGTGTGCAGGTCACCCCTGTGTGCAGGTCACCCCTGTGTGCAGGTCACCCCTGTGTGCAGGTCAGCCCTGTGTGCAGGTCACCCCTGTGTGCACGGTCACCCCTGTGTGCAGGTCACCCCTGTGTGCACGGTCATCCCTGTGTGCAGGTCATTCCTGTGTGCAGGTCATCCCTGTGTGCAGGTTACCCCTGTGTGCAGGTCACCCCTGTGTGCACGGTCACCCCTCTGTACAGACACCCCTGTGTGCAGGTCACCCCTGTGTGCAGGTCACCCCTGTGTGCAGGTCATCCCTGTGTGCAGGTCACCCCTGTGTGCATGGTCACCCCTGTGTGCAGGTCACCCCTGTGTGCACGGTCATCCCTGTGTGCAGGTCACCCCTGTGTGCAGGTCACCCCTGTGTGCACAGTCACCCCTGTGTGCAGGTCACCCCTGTGTGCAGGTCACCCCTGTGTGCAGGTCATCCCTGTGTGCACAGTCACCCCTGTGTGCACGGTCATCCCTGTGTGCAGGTCACCCCTGTGTGCAGGTCATCCCTGTGTGCAGGTCACCCCTGTGTGCAGGTCATCCCTGTGTGCAGGTCATCCCTGTGTGCAGGTCATCCCTGTGTGCAGGTCACCCCTGTGTGCAGGTCATCCCTGTGTGCAGGTCACCCCTGTGTGCAGGTCACCCCTGTGTGCAGGTCACCCCTGTGTGCACAGTCATCCGGTCATCCCTGTGTGCAGGTCATCTCTGTGTGCAGGTCATCCCTGTGTACAGACACCCCTGTGTGCTGGTCACCCCTGTGTGCATGGTCATCCCTGTGTGCAGGTCACCCCTGTGTGCAGGTCATCCCTGTGTGCAGGTCACCCCTGTGTGCACTTCCAACCATGTCTTAAGGTGTTGGCATGAGGTAAGGTGAGGGAAAACCATGCAGGAAGAGAGGAAAGTGTGTGGGTTGGGACTTGCTTTTATTGACATGACCTGAGCATGTAGTTGTGTCCAGCGGTGGAGAGGGGAGTCCATGGGGAGCTGTGGCTGGCTCCTAGATGGCCATCCTGGGCGTCTGTTCTGAGCCCGATGGCTGGGGCTGGAGGAAATCACGGCACTCGGGCTGGATGGGGTCAGAGACACCTGGTTGTGGGCAGCTGTACAGCTGTAGCAGCAGGGAGGAGGAGACAAGGTGCACAGGGTGGCTGGTGGTGTGGCTGGGCCCAGGACGGGCCCAGAGTCCTGGCCACAGCGGGAGGGGCAGCAGAGGCAGTGGCAGGCGTGGGGGACACTTCCCTTCCCTGAGCTCTGCTCCATGCTTGGTGCTCCTGGGTGTCCTCAACCCTGCCCCTCAATGCTGCTGCGTCTGGGTGTGCTAGCACAGTAAGACACGCTGTGGAGGGACCCAGTATGAGGAGCACACTGGGCGGCCCGCCGGGAGGACAAGCCGACCCTCCCCCTGCGGCTGAGCACCAGCCTTGTGCCCCACCCAGGACGCCATCCTGAGTCACCAGCCCCATTTCTGCTGCTGCCGTGCCTGCAGTCCTGTGCCTCTCCCATTCCTCCTCCACACTTCATTTCTGCAGTTTGCTTTGCTGGATCTCCATGTGGAATCTCTGCCTTTGGCGGAGGGACAGAGCGACAGTGTCGCTGTTGGGGGGGGTTGTGCTCAGGCTGTCCACCTGGGCAGCCTGGCCTCCTGCAGGACCTGCACGTCTGTTGCTTTATCTGCTGCATGAGCAAATAAAGTCCTCGCCGTGAGCAGCGGGTGGCAGGGCCTGGGCTTCAGGCTGAGATTCATGCAGACAGAAACTGAAGTGCAAGCAGGCATTGCTTCTCCACCAGAACTCGGCTTCGCTGCTGTGGCGGCAAGAAGGGCGGGAGTGTGACGATGAGCCACACCCTGAAAAGCAGCTAAAAGTAGCTTGTGCTCTTAATTGAGTGCTCACCTCCCCGGTGGTCCCAGAGCCGTGTGGATGGCTGGAGCCTGAGACCGAGACACGGCAGGGAGCCGCGCAGGAGCTGGCTCTGCCCCCAGAGCTTCTCACAGCTCCGCAGGCTCCGGCTCCCACTTGTGACGGCCAGCAGCCCCCTCGAGCATCCCGCCAACTCGCAGAGTGGGCTGGCTCCTGCCGCTTTATAAGGAATAGCCCCTGGGTGGTTTCTCAAGCTTCCGCCTGGCTGTGCTGAAGAGTGAGCCGGTGGAGGAGTGCAGGGCGGGAGGCAGCGTGGTAACGGTGGTGCTCTTGCCTGTCCTAGATGAGCGAGGCCGAGGTCAATGGGCAGTTTGAGTCGGTGTGTGAGTCCGTCTTCAGCGAGGTGGAGTCTCAGGCCATGGACGCCCTGGACCTGCCCGGATACTTCCGCACGAGGAGCCACAGTTATCTGCAAGCCATCCAGGCTGGCTACTCCCAGGACGAGGAGTGTGTTCCCATGCTGACGCCCTCCAGCGTGGCTGCAGCCATCAGGTCCACAGCAGGTAGGAGACGGCTTGCACACACCCCGCAGGGCACCCACGGCGCGCGAGGTTTACCCCGGGCAGGCGCCCCTCCCGTCCGGAGGACTGACTGCCCCACCTAACTTCTCCCACACGCTTGTGACACAGGGGTTGCGTGTGCAGCTGCGTGTTCCACGCTTACATTCTGAAGAATTCCTCTAGAGGTGACCTTTCTCCTGTCTCAGAACAAAATCTGCAAATCAGATTTCCCTAAAATAACCCAGGGTCTGGGAGAAAGGAAGCGCGGCCCGGGGTTGGGCAGTGACCGAGCGTCGCAGTTCTGCAGACGGCAGCCAAGTCCCGGTGGCCGCGCAGTGACCCGCTCTGCCGGGCCCAGCCTCCGTCTCTGCAGCACGGGAGCCACAGCCGTGATTCACTGCACTAGAGCAAATCAGTCGTTAATGCAAATTCCCTCACTGACAGGGCTGGCAGGATTCAGTGTCAGATTCCTTCAGTTCTTGTAGAAAACCACAAGCACCCCTTAGAAAATTTACCACCTAAGCTAAATCCCTCTGCCTAAGACTTTACCGCACAGTTACTATTTACATAACACCATGAATATACATGGCCTGGAGAAAGCCATAAAACACAGACACAGGAAAAGCGTGAGGCAAGAGGCCATGACATAAGCTGGTGGCAGGGTGAGGTGTTCCAAACGCGCACTCCGGAGTGCTGCCCGACATCAGAGGGACTTATAGGCATCTTCTCGGGAGATGAACAAGGTTGGTTTCTGGCACACAGCACAGAGGCAGGAAGGGGTCGGGAAGAGGGGCAGAGGCATCCGGAAGGAGGCAGCCAGGGAGGCCGCGGCGGTTCTGATGTGAGGGAGCGCTTTAGCAAATGTGCACACGGCAAATCACAAGCCCTGGACACTGGGTGCAGGGCCATCTGCACCCATGGCCCTCCGGTGGAGGCTGTGGCCGAATGAGCTCACTCCAGTCCTGCTTTGTGCATCACTGTGTGAGACCTCAGGCCCCTTGGCTCTCCTGGTTGTTTCTGAGGTGTCCAAAACAAGCAGCATCCGTGAGTCGTGGTTCTGTGCTAGGCTGTGGCCACTGGGCGACAGATGTGCATGGGTATGACGCTGTCCTCAGTGCAGGGGTCCAAACGGCAGAGAGCCCAAGATTGTTGCACAGAGCCGCGGACTCACACAGGGCCGTGGACTCACACAGGGCCGTGGACATGCATGGGGTAGTGCCAATAGCACCAGGGCCGGCGGGCAGCCTCAGCTCTGGCCGCCTGCCAAATGTCCTGGTCACAGCATTCTTCCCCTCGGTGGAGCCCCGGCCCAACTCTCATGCTCCACCCCCGCCTGAAAACCACAAATGGGCAGCAGGGAGGAAAAGCGTTCACCCCACCACCGCCACGCTGAAGAGCAACGCTGAGAAGCTGGACACGGTGGCTCACACGCTTAACACCAGCCCTCCGGAGGCAGAGTCAGGAGCATCTTCCGTTCGAGAGCAGCCTGGCTCTTTGTCAGGCCCTGCCTCAAAAAACAATGCAAGGCAAGGAAGTATAGCCCTTCAGAGCTCATGGCTCTGTGTTCAGCGTTTGCTGATGTCACTCACAAGCAAGTGAGCAATTATGCACTTTCATGGTCTTCAGAAGTGCTTTGAGACAATAATTGCCTAATAGAAAATGGCTTTTCTGTTTTTATAGCTGTCATTGTGGAGAGAATAGAAATAAAACATGTTTCATTGAGATAGTACAAAAACCAAGCAGAGGTTGAGATTCTGATTTGTGTCTGCTGTTCATCATTTCTGACCATGCACTGCATATTCCAAAATCTACACAACGAACAAATGTTTCTACTCTGTGTTCACTGCGTCTCAACCAAGCTTCCGGGTCAGATCTCTGGACTACGCGGGGAGCGTCACACTGCGGGGTCTGTGAGTCCAACAAGCACAGGAAGGAAAGCCAGGTGCACAGCCTTGGGGCTACACATGCTGCCGATTCACCATGAGACCCCACCACGGGGACCAGGAGACTCCCGCCACAGGGCCACGAGACCCCACCGCGGGGACCACAAGACTCCCGCCACAGGGCCACGAGACCCCACCCAGGGACCACGAGACCCCACCGCGGGGACCAGGAGACCCCACCCAGGGACCACGAGACCCCACACAGGGACCAGGAGACCCCACCACAGGAACCACGAGACCCCACCCAGGGACCACGAGACCCCACCCAGGGACCACGAGACCCCACCCAGGGACCACGAGACCCCACCGCGGGGACCAGGAGACCCCACCCAGGGACCACGAGACCCCACCCAGGGACCAGGAGACCCCACCCAGGGACCAGGAGACCCCACCCAGGGACCACGAGACCCCACCCAGGGACCACGAGACCCCACCGCGGGGACCAGGAGACCCCACCCAGGGACCACGAGACCCCACCCAGGGACCAGGAGACCCCACCGCGGGGACCAGGAGACCCCACCCAGGGACCACGAGACCCCACCCAGGGACCAGGAGACCCCACCGCAGGGACCACGAGACCCCACCGCAGGGACTGTGAGACTGCTATGAGTACTCTAAGGATGGCCAACAAATGGTTCTAATCTTTCTTCACTAAGTACAAGTTAGATGGCATGCGACACAGCCTATTAAATCAGATTAAGAAAAATACCAAAGAAATGAAATGCCCAACTGGAAAAGCAAGTGTGGAGGGAAGCTACCCAAACACGCGGAGTGAGAATGCTGGCGGCGTCCCGGCCGGACTTCAGACCTCATCCAGAGCTGCGTGCCAGCGCAGCAAGTGGATCAGCCACTCGATACGTGAATATTCCTTATGTTATAAAATGAGTGTGTGCGAGTGTGTAGACAGAAGGATCAGGTTGGTAAACTGATTTTCTTTTATGGCTTTAAAAGTAGTTTTCTTCCCCAGTTCCAATAATATTTCATGCAAGGGAACACTTGGAAATAAATCCAAATATTATTTTCAAAAACATCTCAAAGTGAAAAAAAAAAAATCTCAAAGTGAATATTTTGAAGAATAATACTCATTTAAACACATTTGTCTATGCAAACTAGAAAAATAAAAGTTGGCATTATTATTAGATTGTCTTACCTTGTACAATGTAGAAACTTTAATGTTTACATAATAAATTAAATATCAGATGCGTGCAGGAAATATTTACCAGAGCGTCCAGGTGTGCAGTAGAGATTGTCTCCTAAGCACCATGGTGCATGCTCTGGCAGAAGCCCGTGTGTCCAGCAGGAAGTCTGTATTGCTCACAACCTGCAGCCACCTGGGTACGTGGCTGAGGAAGCCCCATCCTCTGGCCTCCAGGAGCCCAGACAGGGTCACAGGCTGGACAGACAGCTCTCTCCTAACTCCCGCCCACAGCTCCCTCATTATGAAAAGCAGCTCTCTTGGTTAGTGTCCTTTCCTTCAATGAACTGGTTTGGAAAACATCTAACTTCCATTTCACACTTGTATCCCTCCTCACCTGTGGAATGATCTATGAGTAGATTCACTTGTCTGAATATGTGCTTTGCCCAACTTTTCTCGGGAAGGAATACTGGCACTGTGAAGGGAACTATCTAAGGTTAAGATAGAATGACTTTTCTCAGGCCAGAACCCCCTCAGTGTGTCACAGCTGATTCTGGAGGTCAGCAGAGCTCAGGGACGGTGCAGGAGCCGGTGCAGGCTTGCTTTCGTTGCACTGCCCATGTTTCTGTACTACGTTACCTCTCTGGGGTGTGACCCTGTTCTCAGGACATACTTGCTAACACACAGGACAGGCATCTCTTCAATGGTGCTGGGGCCTTTAAACTTCACTTCTTTCCAAGCTCTTCATGATTGCAACATGAAATGTGCACAATTGCTGACCGAGGAGTTGTTGGTTCAGGTCTGGTGAGCCACAGACAAAACTCCCACAAAGCTATAGGTCACGGGGGACCACAAACTCCCCAGAAAGGTAGAAGAAAGCCATCAGTGCCTGAAGAACAGAAATCAACAAAGAACAGCAACAAAAATCACATGTGGACACTTCTTACTTTAAGATATTTAAAAACAGCCCAAATCAAAAGCATCTTGCAAATCAGATTAAGAGCTGGAATTCTGTTTGTGTTGTGAGCATTCGTAAGTGCCTGCTGTATGCAGATCTCGGTACAGTTGCCTGAGATTGCAGAAACTCTGGATCCTGGTCTTTGGCCTCAGACCCAGAGTCTGGTGATGGACCACAGCTGAGACACTTGACGACTCTGGCAACGTTTGGAGACTGAGATGCTGGGATCCTCGGATACAGAGAAGGTGGAAGGAGGCTCAGGAGGCCAGGGCAGCTTCCGGAGTCCTGAAGATGCTGTGCGTGGGCTGTGCTGGGATTTCAGGACTGGGGAGGACTAGCTGGTTTACGGGAGCCTGGCCAGGCCTAGAGGTTGAGCCAGGACTCCAGGAGGCCCTGGAGGGAAAGGCCAGGACAGTGAAGGACCTGCACCTCAGCCCAGGTCTGCACAGCCAGGAGCCCACCTTAGAGCTCCAGACAGAGAGGGACATCATGGATTGAGTCCTCTAGGATCCCTACGCTGAGGCCTTACGCTAACTTAACTCAAGGCCGTATATGGAAAGAGTTAAGACCCCATCACCAGCCGGCCCTCACCCAGGACTGGCCCGAGAGGACACAGGTGACACCACGCCCCAAGGCCGTGGCAGCCTTGAGGAGCCTGGCGACCTCTGCCCTCCAGAGCTGTGAGAGAGCGAGCAGCCCCCGTCCGGGCCTCAGACCGCAGGCCCCAACCCACTAGGCACGGAAGGTCTCAGAGGTGAGATGCTAGAACCACGTGTCCCCGACCCGCTAAGCACAGAAGGTCTCAGGGACGAGATGCTGGAGCTGCGTGTCCCCGACCCGCTAAGCACAGAAGGTCTCAGAGATGAGATGCTGGAGCCACATGTTCCTGACCCACTAAGCACAGAAGGTCTCAGGGACGAGATGCTGGAGCCGCGTGTCCCCGACCCGCTAAGCACAGAAGGTCTCA